TATTTTTTATGGCCTTCTTTGTATTAGTAATAATATTGTATTTATTTACAGTACTTTTGTTAAATGTACTTGTATTGTTAATTTCTTTAGCTAGAATTTGAGCATACAGTTTTTTACAAATAAAACATAAGTTTCAACCTGCCTTATCAATAATGGTGATAATATATTGTTCTTGCACCTTCTTTATTTTATTTTTGAACACATGAAAAGAAGTATCAATATTATATTGGACAAGGTTTAAATTTATTAAACGATTTTTATGTAATTCATGAAATACAGTTTCCATTCAAAAAATAAACATGGAGGATAGTAGTTTTTTTTACTTATTTTGATAATATAATTATCAATATTTTTCCATATCTTTCAATATTTCACATTTTTAAATTTTTTTATTCTAAAATTAGCTCCTTTTTTCAATATTGTTTGCAATTCTTTATCTTTAATTATCTCTAAATTACCTATAATTTATGAAAACGATCCTTAAATTCATTGTTATTACAATTACAAAGTAATTTCTCAATATCTATTTCATTGAAATCTTCAATCATTTTTTTGTAACTGATGATAAGAGGGCCTATAGGTTTATTGTATTTAAAACTAACTATAGGCTGCACTGACTTAATAAGACAAATATTTTCTTGAACACATTATACATACACTTTTATCGCACATACAAAAACCTCACCCCCTTTGGCACAGTGGTAAGTATGCAGAATTTTAACGCAAAATTCTGGTTTCGATATACGTGGTTGGCACAACACAGGTAACCCATTATGTAGCTTTGTGCTTAATTAACTACAAAATAAACAAAAGCATAAAAGGAGAACAATTCATTTATTATTTGCAAAAGACTAAGGGTATGGATAAAATCATTATGTTATTTACAAAGAAGAAAATAGTTTGCAAACAGTAATATAATGAAAACAGTTTTATCAAAGACCATGTACGAAGTAAGTTAATTTACTCTTAAAGTAGAAGACAAAGTCACTGTTTCAATCACATCATCAATGTTTATTTTCATGTTACAGTGCTGACGTAACGTGCATATATTAAAGTAGATTTTACAATTTTAATTTCGAACATTTTGAATTTGAGTTGTACATATTGTATTATCATTAAGGTATATTTTTATGAACTTAAATCTGAGCATAATCTATAAGATTATAATTTTGTCTTCATTACAGTTTTCTCATAAGTACATTTACCTGCTTATGACATTGAGGTATTTTTAAACTGATAACATTAACAACAACAACTTCATGAAGATAACAAATGTTATATGTATACAAGAGCGTTGCAATAATCACTAGGTTAAAAACCTCACACGTTTATTAGTAAAATTATACTACACAGGAGATATAACGAAACTTTTTGAAATACAGTTTATGGTCGTATTGTAAATAATTTAATTACAAATAATTTAATTGTTTTACTTATTTTATTTTTGTGTGTGTTGAAAAATTTCTACGCTCTAAATTTTGACCTTTAGTAACTACTTTCTCTAAGATGTGAAATTTTCCAATTAAATGTATTTTTTCTTTTCTTCTTGTGTTCATACAATTTCTCACTAACTTTAGTACATATTTATCTAACCCATTGTCATCATTATAAAATATTTTAGTGTTTAACGTATTGGGCTACAACTTTCCACGATCAATAAGGATTCGACATCACACAGTTTATGTGTCTCACGTTAACAAATCGTCAATGACGTTTAAAGTTTAATATTTACCATCCCTGTTTGCAATCAATTATGAAACCGACTGTTGCGTCATTAATTGATCATTTTCGTATTTATCGCAGTAACACTACCAGTATGTTTGATACGTATTAAACGAAAATATCATTTTTAGGAGGATTTAAACTGAATTTTTTTTGCCTTCTTATGTAACTAATGTGTATTGAATATAGCATTCAAGATTGTGTTTATTCGTAATAATTTTAGCTATAACTTTGAACTACATTTAAGTCCCCCGGTGGAACAGCGGTAAGCTTATGGACTTACAATGCTAAAACCCGGGGTTCGATTCCCCGTGGTGGATACAGCAGATAGCCCAATGAGGCTTTGCTCTAAAAGAAACAAAGGAACGAACTACTCTAATAGTATTAAATATCAGGTTTCGATACCTGTGGTGGTCAGATCACAGATACTTCATTGTTTAGATTTGCTCTTAACAACAAATATACAATATATTTAATAACACGTGACCATTATAGCTGTAATTCGTTCCTGTCTGAAGAAAGTTTCTGAAACACATTAACGAAGAAGTTCTATGTACGAATTATCAATTCCTTTCAACTAGTGTAATTTAGAAAAGTCCTTATTTTCACTTTTTTTAACACTTGAAAGTGATGGCTGTTTTCCTCGTTGAAATATTTTGTATAAGAATGATTTAGGAGACTTTTGTATTATATATTATATAAAGTAGAGGATTAAAATCACACTGTATACTCTTAGCTTCACCACAAATTAAAAACAATATTTAATAAATCACTACAAGTTCAACAGTTTTGCTGCTTTATAAGAGTTTTATTTTCGAGATAAAGGTACATGAGAGTTAAACATATCCTCCCCTTCCCAAAAAGGAAACCATGAGAGATTCAGATTATTATATTATAGGTAATATGTAGATACCAGTCTTCGTCAGTTGTTAAATGGTCCATTGAAGCTGTAAATATAAATTACATTAAACTAATTAAATATTAATGTGAATTCACTTAGAACAGAACTAATAACATTTCGTGTAATATATCAATCAAACTACTTAATACCAAATGTGGTAGAAAATAACAAAATACTAACCAATGTTCTGAAATAGAAACCTAGCTTTGTTATTTTTGGATTGACTAATCTCATATACCTTAGTTTGGTAGTCATAGAAATGAAAAGTTTAAAATATTTTGTTATATAATATGAGTTAGTTTTCTTTGTTAGATTAGATTAAACATATTTCTTTTCAAATATTTGTGTTTCATTATTTTAGTTGATTTCAAATTCTATATGTGTACTAGTTAATATTTCTTTTACGATGTCATGTTTCATTCCCTAACACAAAGTGTTGCTTTATATACACAGTTATAAATATATAGAACATAAACAGGACACAGTTGTCATTGATGTCCAAAAACGTATAACGTTAATTGCTTCAGAACTGCTGTTCTAAAATTTAGTGTACCTGAAAAGCTACTGCGAGGATTACCCGTGCCATTCTATATAAAATATCCACATGGTTACTATTCTGACTGGTTGCTTTGGGATTTATCAATCTATCTATACACTTTGGTTTTCTGTAATTGTATTATGATTCTTATATGTGCATGTCTTTTTTTAATTATTGAACAATTTGTAAGAGTTTTCCGACTAAATATTTTAATTTCCTTTCAAGAAGTGAGACAAGTAATGGTAACAGTGGTATATTTTGTTGTTATTTTTACTTGAAAAGTACATTTTAAATGTCGATTTTTATTAAGTGTATTTTGGCCTTTTATTAGATCTAATGTGTCTAAAGCAAAATCTAAAGTGTAAACCTAATATATAGCCACATATTTTCAAAATATTAACAAAACAAATGTTAAAACAACATTATATAGATTGATAAATAAAATATTCATAATATGATTTTGATTGTGATGATATATGTTATCATATATTTACAATATATTTTTAATTGTTATGGTATTTTGTATTCAAACTAACACTTGTGATATATGAATAGTTACTTAAAATGTCTGATCATTATAAAACACATTACGTTATTTGAAACTACGAACATTTTTAGATGTTTTTGTAAATTATAATGTTTATACACTTTTCAGCACATAATATGTCCAAGTTCAGAAATAGTTGTATAATTTTTTGTTAACATATTGGTATATTTTAACCTTATTAACTTACATCTTTACAAACAGCTGTTAATCAATTCAGTGAGTGTGGATTCTGGATCCTCTTGATGTTCTGCAAATTTCTCATTGATGCAGTTTTTCATTTCCTGCACATATGTATAAGATTTAACAAAATTAAAAGTTTGAACTAACATAAAACATATTTCTTTAATGTTTATAATGAATTATAGTTTTATGGTAGACATCTTTCCCATAACTCGTTCTCCTATAGTGTATTGGGTGACTATAAAGTCATGGTTCCTTACAACACATATATTAACGGAATCATATACACATAAACATGGAGTCATGCGGAACACATTTCAAGAGTTTCTAATACCATGGATGTACGTTGTGGTATTTATCCTTCACCAAATTAATAGTGAGATTGTAATATCATAGTCATATATTATTGTATTTATCGAATTAATAGTTAGATTGTAATATCATGGTCATATATTGTTGTATTTATCCTTAATTGAAGTAATAGTTAGATTGTAATATCATAGTCATATATTGTTGTATTTATCCTTAATTGAAGTAATAGTTTGATTGTAATATCATGGTCATATATTGTTGTATTTATCCTTAATCGAAGTAATAGTTAGATTGTAATATCATAGTCATATATTGTTGTATTTATCCTTAATTGAAGTAATGGTTAGATTGTAATATCATGGTCATATATTGTTGTATTTATCCTTAATTGAAGTAATAGTTAGATTGTAATATCATAGTCATATATTGTTGTATTTATCCTTAATCAAATTAATAGTTAGATTGAAATATAGTTTTATATTGCTGTATCTATCTTTAGTCAAATTAATAGTTAGATTGTAATATAGTTTTATATTGCTGTACCTATCTTTAGTCAAATAAATAATTAAATTGTAATATCATAGATCCACGCTGTTGTATCTATCCTCAATCAAATTAATATTTAAGTACAGTTAGATAAATAATCAACTTTAAAGAGACATTTCGAACATTGACGTCACAAAGTCTGGAAAACACTTGTGACTGTAAAAATTTACTTTAGCTGGAAAGATATGAGTGGTTGAAATTTACATTTATCACAGAGAGTTCTTCATATAAACAATTTTTTGAAGAGACTTTCGGATTTATAAAATAAAATAATAATTACATAATACAATTTAAAAGTGAACCAAACCGGATAGAGTACGAGTTTGTTTTCTAAAATAGGGTGGACTGAAATGGACCCGAATTCAGGGTTGAAGATACGCCTAAATAGGCTATATCTAACTTCTCGAGTGACATCAGTCTCAGTTTTTCCATTAGATGCTTGTAGTTAAGTTGGATAAAATATCTGTAGAGTACTGGTTATTAGTCAGTTGTGCTATAATTTCGTGGTTATATAAAATTACAGTTTATGTAGAGTATGGAAAGCTTATTTCTTTGATTTATCAACTGTGCAATATTCTCGTGGCTATACAAGATAATTTTGTTCCTGTAATAGTTCTTCGTACGTTTTAAAATAAAGTTTGATTACGCAAGCAGAAATTAAATCCCCAATTATATGATATATAATCATCACCTGCACATCTGCTTTTCTTTCTTCTTTACACATTTCATTGAAGAACTCATTCAAATTATCTGTAGGAAATTGTTTTTTTTCACAATCTCGAACTGCACCTAAAACCTTGAGATGAAAAACACTTTCTGTTACATCAACTTTAATATTATATTCTACAACTTTATTTTCGTAACATTTAATTGTAAGCTATGTCAAGAACGATATAATTGTTCTAAATTATAACTAGTTTCAAAATATGATTCTCTTTAGACATAAACTACTGCTCATAAACTGAAAGTCTGCAACATTCTTGAAAGAAAGGCAGAGAATAAAAAACATAATTAAAACAAGGAAAGTAACATGAAATTTCTAGCACATTGTTTAAGAACTGTGAATTATGTCTAAATATAACACTATGGTGAAATATTCATCTATACTAAGGTGTAGTTAGCGGAAGGAAAGATTTTCTATATATGACCGGATTTCATTCTTTTGTTTGTTTGTTTTGAATTTCGCGCATAGCTACACGAGGGCTATCTGCGCTAGCCGTCCCTAATTTAGCAGTGTAAGACTATAGGGAAGGCAGCTAGTCATCACCACCCACCGCCAACTCTTGAGCTACTCTTTTACCAACGAATAGACCTAATTGACCGTCACATTATAACGCCCCCACGGCTGAAAGGGCGAGCATGTTTGGTGGGACGGGGATTCGAACCCGCGACCCTCAGATTGCGAGTCGAGCGCCTTATTCACCTGGCCATGCCAGGCCCCGGATTTCATTCTTCAACCTTAAAGTTTTTAAATATGAGTTACAAATTGGAACTGGTTTGTTAATATTCGTAACAAATTCGAGTTTTAAACAATTTATGAATAATTTTCACGATGTTGAAGAACGTTAAATACTTTTATATCTTACTTGAATATTAATCTTTGATTTTTTAACACTTACTTTAATTGTGTCAAATTAACCCTCAATATAAATGAAAATTTTAATACAATTCGTATATCAAGAAGGCTTTTTATTGAAGAGAAGATCAGTTAAAATAGTCATTATTTCCAAAATTACAATGAATTAACGAAAAATGATTAATTATAATACTCCAAACACCTACCCAAGCTGCCTTTTCATCATAAACTTTTGTATCACACTCTTTTATCTTGTTCATTCTTTCAGGCATCTCTTTACTCATCTCTGCATAAAAAAATACACGTTTGATTTACCTAAAGAAGACATTTTTCTCATGTTACAAATCAACTTACGTAGAAGTACTTTATTAAATAAAGCTCTTGGCTTCTTAGAGCAATTGAAAATGTCAATGTCACTAATGAGACAATTTTAAAAATTTCTTATATATAGTAATGTTGTTGTGCATATAATGAAGTCTAATTTGGTAATATTTTATTCTACTTTTCTTTTGTATTGTTTTTCTAATGGTCAAATACAAGAAGACAACATTTTTATATCAGTAATACGATTAGTTAATATTTTATACATCAGTAAAGTTTGAAAATGAACTTACTACAGTACAGTTGCCAGCCTATATCTATAGCGTTGCCTTTCGTCAACGTCAGGCTTACGAGCATAACAAGAGCTGCAAATAGAACTTTCATGTTGAAAATGTTGTTTTCATGAAGACTTCAGCTTAGAAAACCATTTTTATATCATTCATCCGAAATCCTTCAGCCAATAATTTTAAGTAATTTCTACTTAAACTAAAATTAATAACTTTGCTAGTTTATTTACGAATCATTGCATGCCTCTTTCCGGATTGGACAAAGCGGGTTTGGTAACAACCAATAACGGAGTGATTATACCAAACACAGGCACCTCCTTCCATACAATTAAAACGACTATGTATAACTGCAAAGATGCTTGTGAAAATATTCGTGTAACTTGGTTTTAATATTTCTTTGTGTATAAGCCTATTTTCATATTTTCGAGAAAACGCTAACATGTCTGACATACATAATTAATATTATACAGTAATATTCAATGGCATATATAAATACATAGTTTTGTTATGTTGAGAACCTTATGGATTTCTTTGTGTGCCCTATAGATACTCTTTACGTTTAATGCGTTCCATGCTTAGGAGTTACTAGTTCTCTGTATGACTCCATTACTCCTCTTTCTTGTTGTCCCCGTTTTGAATGTAGATATTTTAATATTAAATGCAAATAACGAAACATGAATAGTTGATACATGTTATCTTTTAAAATATAAGAAAAGCAGTCTTTAAGTTTCTGTAATACTGGAATAGTGAGTTATATTTAAATTAGCATTACTGCGCTTATAGTAAAAAAAAGCATATATTCTTAGCTGGGCTGTAGAATTAACCTAGAGTAATAATAACTTGGTTTCTGTATTCTATATTCTAGGTTATTAACCATTAGATCAATATGGCGGTGTTAGTAATTCCATTATTTATACCGAAGTCGGAAAACGTAGCTTTCTCACTGAACAAAGCACAAACGTAAGGGTCTTGGGATGGCTTTGTGGTTAGGGTTGTTGACTCGCAATCCGAGGCTGAAGATAAACATAGACGTTGGAACTAGGGGGTGGGGGTGAGCTCGAATATCACTCCCCCCAAACGCCAATTTTGTTAACAACAATTTTCATTGTCTTTTTTCTATGCAATTGCATGACTTTATCATGATGTTTCTTAAATTATGAATATTTCTTTTATCAGAATTTTAATTTCAGACGTTAATTTCTGAAATTTCATATATTGATACAACAATCTGTATATTCATTATGTTGATGTATGACACATTGTTAAGGGTTGTTGACTCTTCTACCAATTTTTACCAATATTCCCGTACGTTCATGTAGTGGAACTTCAAGATGGCGCTTAGTTTCGCCTACACGGGAGGCCGAACATGTATGAGTTCTAGCGCAAAGTTACACATTAGACTATCTTCGCTCTGTACACCACGGGGAATCGAATCCCATTACTTAGGTTGTAAGTCAGTAAACTTGCCAGTGGTCCACTGGAGTTCGTGTATAAATAAACAAATGGGCCATTAACACTGGCTGATTATAAGGCGGTCCATGTTATGGAAATAATTCTTTAGTCTAAGAGCAGATTCGAAGATAACCTTCAGGTCGACTTGGGGTTAATAATAGTTAACACTTCTTTTAATACGTCTCTTATTAGATAAAACCGAGTGACTAGGTAATTATTTTGACACATTAAGATAACACCTCTCAACCACCAGGATTCTCTCATCCCCTTCACGGGACGCCACACTGGGATGTTTGGATACCAGAGAAGGTAAACTGGAGAGATAGAACCTTCCCTGGGAGGTCCCCTCACCACGTACAGGAATCAACATCGAGGGGCTTACTAAACGAAAACAATATATTTTAGAAAAACCCATTATTACTAAAAGCAATAGAAAAGATATATGTTTGTATGTCACACTTTTCCTCCCTCCTCTGTTTCTGACTTGTTCTCAAGCCGACAATTAAATTTGTCTTTAAAATCAATTGCCTTTACATTTGTAATTTGATCAAGGAGTACATTAACTTTCCTTTGTTCTTAAAAGCACATACACGCCACCTTGACAATTTATTTGAACCGTAAGTACAAAGTAAATGCAAATTTTAACCTTGTGAAAGTTCATATTGATCATCCTTTTGAATATAGAAAAATGAAACATCAGTATTTATACATTATATGTTTTTAAAAGATATATACAATGTAGCCACAAAATGCTGCCATTAAGGACAGAAAGTGAAATGTATAATCTTATAGTGTACTAAAAATTGTAAGAAAACTTCCCGAAAGTTCCGCTTCAGTACCTGATGAATCCTGAAATTATTCCTCAGTGTTACTCTATTAAGCAAATCAATGAAAAATGATATCGCCTATTATGTTACTGCAGTGATGAATACCCCGGTATGTTTTGTATTTCAAGTAGCAGATTACTGTATTATTTTAATAGTGAAAACTAGGGGAAAAAACGCGCGCTTCGCGTACGACGTATTTTTATGGTTCTAGTATTTTGTATTTGAATGTATAAAGTTAATAAAATGTAAAGGCAGTGCTGTGTATTTAAAGTAATCAAAACAGTTAAGTCACCTGCCTAAATTACTCATGTAAGAGATTAGGTACTTAGAGTTCTGGACGAACTTGGTGGTCATGCGGGGCATCTCAGTGACTGCTAGGTTAAACCTATTTCACAACAAATGATACCCACCAAATATCTATAGTATAAAATACACTTTGAGTCTAATGATGTGATGAAAAATGGCAAACTGATCGACTTATCTAGTAAGATATATTAGATCTAGTGACGCTTTCAAAAACCTGAGTATCGTAGGCAAGTATTAAAACTCAACAGGGTGACGATATAGGTATGTAAGTGTCTATAAACAAATAACAAATTCACATACAAAACTTTGAAAAATAAACACTGCTGTCTGAGGTGGAGCTCTGAGGGAGGGCAGACCCATTCCCTTTAGTTACAGTGACGTTATGCGTATCTCTCTATTACTAATTTCATTTTTGCATTTTAAAGAAGTTTAAAAGTTTCACACGCACACACGTTATACTTGTAATTATATAATGTTCTATTGTCACGCGACCTGGATTATTATGTGTAAAGTGGACCAGGACCGGATTAAGTGTTTACGAGGCCTGGAGTTGAAGACTTCCAGTGGGCCTAGTCACATTTGTTCAAACAAATAAAATGACCATTCAGGTTTCAGATTTACCAAGCTATCACGAAATTAATATTATTTCAGGATATGGCAATAATTATTAACGACAACTAACTTGATAAGTTTTTGCAGAAAACAAATTAGAAATCAATTTCAAGTTTTTCCTTCCAGTCAGGCGTGGATATGGAATTTTTTAAAGGGAGGGGTTCAGCCTGTAAAAGGGGTACACATATAAGAACAATAATATATTTGTGATTTAACAACCTGAAACGGATGCAAGAGTGTTTCACAGGAAATTCACTGGTTCGATTAATAGTCAACGTTGAAAATATAGGGTTTCAGAATATACTTGTTTTATTATGTGTGCATAAGGATAATTTCGAAACAATGTTCATTGGTATTTTTATATCAAGACATACGGTAGTGCGTCGTGCAGCCAAAATAATATGCAGGATGCACTGTGTATTATTAACAGAGTGATAGTTTAGCGATTTTCCACTTTCTGTAACTCGGACTGTGGTACACTAAATATCACATATTGTCAGTGAATGTGCTCTACTGGGCCCTTCCTTCACATACTAAAGTAATCCATTGAGAAATACACGAGATATAAAATTTCCACTTTTGTTTGAAGTTCTTTCTTTTTTTGTTTTCTTTGCACCGAAAGTATCGAAAATGTATTTGATAGAAAAACGTACTTAACTTTTGTATATTTTATCAAATTTTTTACATTGATAGATCTTTAGAACCTACAATTAGGTGTCAAATGTGGTCAAAAGTGTTAACATTAAATCCTACAGGCATTAGATGAAATAATAATAATATAATGTTAACACTAATTAAAAATAATAGTTTACGAAGAAATCGATGACAGGTTTTTAGATGAAACATCATTGAATTGTAACAGAAAGTTTCGTAATATAATTTTGTACCTAATATATCATTGATTATTTTCTAAATATGCTATTGGAGATATCGTGTGTAACTAACAAGTAGTCTTTCCACGTGATTCATAATAAAATATGATCGATAATGCTTTACATTGTCTGCAACGTTTTAATTTTTCTGACACGATATATAATTTTAGGTTGATACTCAAACTCAGTTTCGCGTTCTGTTCTAGAGCTTCTGTATAGTTTGATATATAAAACGTGTTTCTACCTAAGCTAGAAGTACTTTTAGATTCAGAACTTTCTAATCAACAAACGTATCATGAGTCAGTGTGCCATTTGTTGCTTTAACATAATAACAGGTTACAGATGTTTCTATTACAAAACTCGATGGGTATATTCTGTCAGGTGTGGAATGCAAGTGCTCGTGTGCTTCGTGTATAAAGAAGCTACTGTATAATTAACTAAAATTCCAACCGCAGAATGTACAGTCATGCTTTCTGCTTTCACCATTCCCTCTACGTATATCGCTTTGAATTCTAAGCCTTTTATATGAATTATCATTGATATACATTTTCGTTTGAAGTAAGATACAAAAATGTAATCTATTAAGAGTGATTCAGAAGTCCAATGAAACCAAATAACTTAAGGTGTTATAAGAAGATAACTGTTAGTATTATTAGAATGACGTTCTGTGTCCTATCCTTTGACAATACTAGAGATTATAAAGTCATCTTTTTCAAAATGTTTCTTATAGAGCAAAAATGTCAAATGCAAATGAGGTAAATCACCCGATGAAGTAAAGAAAGAGTGATTTTTGCAAATTGGTTTATTGAATAACATTTATGTATAAGAAACTAGACATATCTTCTCAGATAACATACACAATGAACCTTGGTTAACAGGAAGTTGATTTCGTTCTAGCTGCCTTTTATCATTCTCTGGAGACAACATCTATTCTGTTCAAGTAACTGGCCTGGCTGTAATGCTGTACGTTGTCCAAGAATGTAGACAAAAGTATCCTACAATGGTTTCTCCTCTCTTATGTTTAAATGACAATGGTCACTGGTCAATCAAGTGGGTAACGCTAGTTGCTCTGAG